GTTGGCCTCCAAACCTACTAAAACATTTGTTCGTCCATAAATGTTCTAAAGTTTGAAGAAAGCAGCTTCTGGACGATTTTTCAACATTTGACCTTCTCAAGATCACTTTAGTAAATTATCAAACTATCATTTCTGACGTAAAATTTCCCGCTCTTTCCGAATCCGGTGTCGAAAATAGGGGTTCTCATTTAAAAAAATTATTTTGACCTTCAAATAACCTTAAAAATTGACTTTAAGGTCAAAACCAATAATGCAGACAGATGACCTCCATTGTCCTGAACAACTTTTGTTTAAACAATTTTTTTGTATAGCGCTTACTTTTGGAGATATTTGGGTGGATCGATTAAAATGGCCCACCCTGTATATATACATATAATCAATGTTTTTCGGATTCCTTCAAATTTTCTAACGTTGGATTTAATACTGAAGGTTGCTGCGCTAAGGGACGAACTGTCTGAGAAGCAAGAGCTGATCAGCGAGCTCAAAGACCTTAATCAGAAGTTTACTCTGGCACACCAACAGATGCAAGCCGATTACGAACGATTGAAGCAAGAGGAGGCTAACAAGTCAGTCAAGTTGCAGGAGCTTATGTTGTTGAATGAGCGTCGAGAACAAGTACGTTGGACAAATTCATGCAACGGATGAGTAATCTATTAATTACACGGATCTATTAACTATACTGATCTATTAATTAATTGCTCTATTTACGATCGTGTAAAATAAATTTGTGATCACGTCGAATCGATTACAGGCAAGGAAAGATCTCAAAGGTTTGGAGGACACGGTAGCCAAAGAACTGCAGACTTTGCACAATTTACGCAAATTGTTCGTCCAGGATTTGCAGGCTAGAATAAAGAAGACCATCAACGCGGAGGATAACGAGGATGACGGCGGTTCTCTCGCACAGAAACAGAAAATATCTTTCTTGGAAAACAATCTGGACCAGTTGACAAAGGTACAGCTTGTATGTGTGCATATCACACTTTAATTTAATTTCTTTAACAATATATTTTCTATTAATACATCACATTAATTATAATCAATTTATATTTTCCCTTGTATTATTTTTATTTATATTCGTGCTATTATTATATTTTATTAACTTGTTCCGTACTGGTGATGCTCGCTGGATTTTTCGTTCAGACCGTTTAATGTTTTGGGTATAAAAAACGTAATTAAAAAATAATTTTTTATTATACATGTATAATTATGATATATGGTGCAATATTGATATTTGATTAGGTCTTTTTAATAATTTTTGTAATTTTTTAAATTACTAAATACATGCTATTTTTTTAACAAATATAACGGACACAAAACATGTCATAAGTCGCAGCGTGGTGATCATTTAAAATTAGCTCGGCTATGGAACGTATTAATATGCTATTAATTTATATTATTAAGTATACTATTAATTCTGTATATACAACAAATATATAACATATATATACACACATATACATATATATATATATAACACATATTTATATTATAGGTGCACAAACAACTCGTCAGAGACAACGCAGACCTCCGCTGCGAGCTGCCTAAACTGGAGAAACGATTACGGGCGACAATGGAGCGCGTCAAGGCCCTGGAGACGGCGCTTCGCGACGCTAAGGAGGGTGCGATGCGAGATCGTAAGCGCTACCAATACGAGGTGGACCGAATCAAGGAGGCAGTTAGGCAAAAAAATCTGGCGCGTCGTGGACCGAGCGCGCAGATCGCGAAGCCGATTCGGGCCGGTCAGCACCACCTGAGTAACGTCAACGCCATCAGAACCGGCAATCGTGGTAAGGAGTAGTTTCTCCCTTCTGTCTCCATCCGACTACAAACCGCGCCAGTTATAAAGTCATCGTCGTCTCTCTTTTTCTTTCTTTTTTTTCGCAAAAACTTCCCTCGTTTTATATATGTACATACATGTATACAATTATCTTGTTTTTCTTTTTTTAGATTCACTTAATTAAAAAGCCTACATTGTATGTCGTTGTGTGGGTTTGTTCGGTTTTGCATTACAAAAGGGGTGACGGCCTCCCCCCCTCCCCCCAGGCAGCGCTGCGCTTTAGAGTAAGTGGGTCGATTTTTGTTACGTCTACTATCTTTGGCACCGAACTTCTCGCGCGATTTCATGAAAGAGGAAATAAGCGAATGAAAACAAAGAAAAAAAGCGAACAAACCTCGCGACGTTTTTTTTTTTTAACGTACGATCGAACATCCTTTTGCATGGCGAGTTTAATTATTTGAGACGTTCTTAGTTGCGATTATCGCCGTATCGTTTATATCACACGACGCTGATTTCACGAAATATGAAATTTTATTTGATTGTGACCGATGTTTATTTTAGATATTTATTTGTTTTCCTCTTTTTTTCCATGTTCCTGATTACACACACACAGATATGGGTAACAGCGTACAGTGATCGTGATCGCATAATGCCAAAATACCCTTCACTTTTACAGAAAACGAATGCAAGAACGCTTTCATCGACGAAAACAAAAGAATTCCAGCGGCTCTTATGTATAACGGATATGCATAAATGTTATAATTATTAATATTGAAGTAAGGGCATAGTACTATATTATTCGCAAGGAGAGAGCACCGCCAGTTCTTTTAATTGTTTCTTTCCTCTTTTTCTCAGAGCAAGCATGTGCTTAGGTATATAATATATATAAGATAAGTGCATTAAAAATTTAATTTAATGTCACATACATATATATGCATGATAATGATTCGATAATGAATAGATATTAAATTACACGGAGAAGCTTCTCGCCACTCTCTCAAAATAATTTTTACTTTAGTGTTTCTATTTAAGTCACATTCAATCTGAAAATTGAACGGAGAGAACCTAGAAAACTTGCCGCAAATCTTACGAGCTCGTAGCGAGGATCGTGCGGTCGCGTCGACCAGGACGATCCTCGAAGATCTCGGGAAAGAGGCAACGAATACTTAAAAGTGTTTAGTTCAGATACCAATTTACTAATCGAGAAGACGATTGGACATGTGGCTTCGAGCGAGTGTAAAAACGATCGCGGCTTATATAAGTATTCGTATATTTGTAAGAAATCTCTCTGCTAGCTGATAAGAATATTTCTGTTCGCGATAAGAGAGTGCACGAGTTCGTATCTACAGAACTCGCCGCTAGAACTCGTAACAAAATCTCAGATACGAGCTGTATTGTATGTATGTTTATCTCTACCAATGCAGATTAATTTTAATCTTGATTTAATTTATTCTTTGTCTCTTTCTAACGTCTATTTCTACCGATATGTAGATTAGCTTTAATCTCGATTTAACTTGTTTCTAATCTTATTTTAGTTCTGAGAATTATAAGAAGATAAGAATAAGTTAAACCGAAGCAACAGTTAATCTATATTCGTGGAAATAGGTATTAGAGAGAAAAAGATTAAAAGCAAATTAAATCGAGATTAAAATAAATTATGTCCATTTCTATTAATGTATATATAACTAATCTTGGTTAACTTACTCTTTATCTTTTTCTGATTCCTAGAAACAAGTAAAGAGCAAGTTAAACCGAGATTAAAGTTTATCTGCATTGGTAGAAATGGACATAATTTTTAAAACTTGGAAGACAATAAAGAACAAGTTAAACTGATAAAAGCTAATTTACATATTGGTAGAAATAAACATAGTTCTTACAAGGAAAGCCTCAAAAGTAGTTCTCACCGATTTCAATGAAACTTGGCAGGATTATAGAGTGTGTTTTCCTGAATATAATTACACTCGAGTTTATGGTGCTAAAAAAACTTGTTTCATTTATTTTTATCAAATGTTCATTTCCAAGCCTTTCCTTGTTAGAACTAAAAAAAGATAAAGACTAAGTTAAACCGAGATTAAAGTTGTTAATCTATAGAAGACGGGCATTAATACTATAAACTGTGGATTCTACTATAATACTGTCCGATCTCCAAGTGCAAGAAATGAGAGTTCGGATCGAGTTCTAGCGTCGTGGAACCGAGGAGTTCAGGAGTTCTCGCGCGCATCCCGCCGGAGGGCACGCTTGACCCCCGATCAAGTGAGAAAATTGTCTCTCCAGAGCATTCTCGGTGCATTATGGCGGCCAGTCTTACCCGTGCGCGATCTTATCGGAGCGAGGAAAGTTCATGAGGACCTGTTTTGCGACAGAAAAGTAGAGCGATTTGAACGATCACTGTTCTATTGTGCGTATACAGTGTATAGTTCGCCGATCATTTCTCTCGCGTGCGTCTAATTTAGATTAATTTATCCCCGATACGCTCCTTTTACTGCTGCTACCCGGCGACTATCGAGCGATTCGAGAAGCTTCGGCCTTCTTCCAGCGAGCCTCGGACTTTTTTCTTCCTCACTTCTTCAGATTACGAGCGAACGAAACCCACTTTAATGCGTCCTGAGAGGAGGAAAAGAAGGGTAAAAGAGCAAACGAGGAAGAAACTGTCAGTTTCGTGCTCGCGCGTCGTCATCATTGATCTTTTTCGAAAAATCCTCGCGATTTGTTTTGTGTTTTTTTTTTGTAACCTAACTCGATTTTCTCGCGCGTCCTATATTACGTTATTTTCTACGCTCTTTTTTCTGTCCAATTTATACAAATATTGTACCTTTCTTTGTAAATCTATTTTATAAGACTTCTCTTGTATGATTATGAGATAGTCATTGTTAATTTGTAATCGCGATAAAGCCCAACTAATCGCGAATGGCTTCGGGCGACTTTTACTGAAATCCAATTTAATATTGAAAGGTGTAATGATCAATTACTTATTTTGAGCATTGAAACAGAGCAATAACTTTTAAAACTCAAAATAAGTAGTTAATCACTACCTTTCAGTATTAAATTTCTGTAAAGCGATGTCTACGATGAGATTTCAAGACATTAAACTTAAACTTTGAGCTTCATACCGTAAGAAATTGACCGATATAGCGAGGAGGTAACCACTGAAATATTGTCCCACAAATTACATGATTTAATTTGATTTCATCTGATGACAAATAATTTTCTTCACTATATATGAAGTCATTTGGTAAAATAATTGATTTAATCCAATATCATACAATTATTTCTTGTAGTTGCATATATAATAATAGGATTATACATCGGGATTTTATATGAATTTTATAATGATTTCAGGGATTCTGTCCCACGGTTACATTAAGTGATTGCCCCCTCAATTATAGTCGATTAATCAATTATGATTGCTCAATTTCTTACGGTTTAAGACTTTAGTTTAAGTTTTACGCCTTAAAATTTGATTGTAGATGCCTCAAAAAGAATACGCTAACGGATGGCTTTTACACGGCATTACATTTCCTCGTTACCGACGTTATTCTGCGATCCTTGTGTTCACTTTCGTGAGAGGCTCTCGATTGCGCTCATAATTAATGTAATCTCCCTCTTCGTCGCGGGCTATTAATAAAATGCGGATACGTTTTTTTCGATCTTCCACGACGCGAAAATTCCCGGAGCTGAGCTAAACTGAGAGCGCTCGCGGGATTTATTTAACGGTAACGGGTATAGTGAGTTTTCACCCTTGCGGAAGCTTCGTCGTGGAGCACGTGGTACGGGATGGAGCGAGGCGTAATGTAAACGCGTCTCTAGAAGAAGTATTGAGCTAATACTTTGCTTCTTTTTTTTATCACACCATCCAAGTTCTCTATATTAACTTTTGTGATATATAATTGTGTCGAGGACGAGGAAGTTGCGTTCTTTTTTTCCTCTCCTCTTTGCTCGTACGTGGGTGTAAACGACCGACAGTGTGTGGTGCATTAATGCGAGTGCAATTATCGTTAAGCTATTTTTGTCGGATGTATGTAAATATCCTCTCCTCTTTGCTCGTACGTGGGTGTAAACGACCGACAAGTGTGTGGTGCATTAATGCGAGTGCAATTATCGTTAAGCTATTTTTGTCGGATGTATGTAAATATATGACACACACACACACACGCACACACGTAACGTGTCACGTACATAATTTCGCGACGCAGTGTAAAGGAAAGGGTACGTTCCCTTCCGTGGTGTAAGAAGACAAGTATGCGTTCTATGCACGATTTATCATATAATACAGACACCTAATAATGTTAATGTTTCTCTCTTCAACACGCGTCCCCCTTTAGACGCTGATGAATGTATTTCTCCCCCTCAATCGTGTTGCGCTGAAATTGTAACGCGCCTGTAATACGATTCACGAATATCTCCCCCTCTCTCTTTTCCCTGCCGATTATTAAATGATCATCGGCTTCGACAAACAATTGTAATTCCGCGATCGTCGATTTTGAATCCCCCTCCCTCCCTCCTTTTGCGACATAATTTAAGAAGTTGAGATTACCCAAGAAATCATGTAAGAAATTTACTGGATCTTTGTGATAGACGATAACAATCCCTTATTAAACGCAACAGCAACGATCGATTCTTATTATTAATGATGTATATGTAATGTAATCGAGTGATGTTCGTCGACGAGCGCGGGGAAGACAGAGCTATTGGTATATTATTTTCGTAACGTCTCTGACGTATCTGAGAAAGTAAAAAAAAAAGAAATAAATACACTACACTTATCCGCAGTCAAGTAGGCGAGATTATAACGATTTATGTGCACGCAATCATCCAAGTCAGTCTCACTGTTAAAGAGGAGGTCGATCTACAACCGGCAGTCCCTTCGTCTCAACGACGAGCGAAGCGCTTTTTATTTCTTCATCGCGATCTTTAAAAAGGATAAAGGAGAACAGGATCCCATTCCTTTCCGTCAACGGACTATCTCGGAGAATCTCAGCGAGCAGTTGCCAACAGTTCACGCAATTTTTGTAACGATTTTTTTTTGTCGCGCGAGACTACTTTTCCGTATCAGCGATCGAGTTCGGATCTACCTCATCTGGAACAGAACGAAGTAGCGAAGACGAGATAAAAAGAAAACGAAAAAAAAAGAAATGCATAGCTACAATTATAAACGTTTTTTTTTCCTAGACACTAGGTGGTAGTAAATTTGTATGCAGGGTGTAGAAGAGAGGCTGTAGCTACACAAGGTACTATTATAAATTGTAATACAATATTCTGATTAAAACCGTATTCGGATTAAAACCGTAATTTTAAGATATCGTTACTATTATTATTATTATTATTCGATTATCGAAAACGACAGTGCTTATATTGAAGAGAAAGCAAAGAACAAGGGAAAATCACATGACTGTATTCACTTATTTATTTATTGTCGCACCGCATATTGTTCCGGCGAAGTAATCTCCGAAAGAGATATATTTATAAAGTAATATAACAAAAATATATTATACATATACACATCTCGTGCGTGCGAAAGTCCTGTATTGCCCTATCCGAGCTGAGATAATTCAATTTTTACTAGTTTATTATAAAATAGAGTAACTTTGACTCGAATTTTAACAATGCCCAGATAAGAAAAACGTTTTAAGACGTTTTATATTCTTTGCTGTCTAGGTATTTTTTAAAATTTGGGTCAAAGTTACTTCATTTTACATTTTTCAAAGCCACTATACAATCACAGAAAGTTTTAATATTTCTCAGTCAATTTGTATAAAATTACTTCTAGTTTTTACCTGTGCAATTTGAGAAATTATCTTCCTCGTCTCGGTGGAACTAAAAGCGATAGTCAATAGATCGTATTGTAAAAGTTCACGTTTTATTCTTATTTGGTAGAATTGTACAATATCGTAAATATCAAAACATACAATAATTGGAATACAATAAGCAACATGATTATTACAAGTTTCCTAGTCCATGGGCCAAGAAGAGACCTGCGTATTTATCGCAGAGCGCACACCTTTCCTTTTTCTCTCTTTTTTACAAAGTTTTCGACAGTATGTACAATCGGTCTTTTTATCGATAGATAAAAGAAGAATATGGAAAACAAGAGATATTCAGAGCAACATATAAACAAATATACCTATCTTATTTCTAAAACTACATACGTATTTATCACTGAGGCTTGAAGTTTTTGTATTAATTACAAAATATGAAAAGAGACGTTTGCGCGTCTCATCCTTTGCCAGGATAATTCTGCACGAAGAGGAACATTACGTAAAGTGTACTTTAATCGGTATATACTAATACGAACAAAAACATATTACGAAAGATCTTGCAACAAACGTTTCTTCGGGCAAAATCATTTCCAGAAAATGAGACGCACAAATAGTCTTCGTTCCCACACATTTTAACATTGTCCGGAAGATTGTATCATACTTGGAATGTATGAATCGGAGATGCGTTTTACGCATTCGTGAAATTGAGATTCAGTAAGGAATTGCCCCATAAAGTCCAGCCCTTATCCAAGCAATCAAGATTCGAGAGACCACGTCTCGAGAATGGCAAATGGGTATGCACTGCTAGCACAAGAGGTGATAAAGAATACGAGTGAATAAATGTTCCCGTAAATACAAAAAGTAATCTATTCACAGTACAGAAATTCTGAGATGGCGATGGTCAAAGCATCGCAACGTGTCTCTAGATATCCAATAAAAAAGATACGAAAATTGGCAGATATGTTCAACAAGCAAGTATAGTGGCAGTGTAACGCCGTATTTACTGTTTTCCCGGCAGTAAAATGGAGCATTGCGCTCGTTCTTCCATTGGCAGTAAATTGTATCACCCCAGATATTTCCAAGATCGAAGATTAAATTCTTAGAACCTAAGGAATCGGCAGTAGATCACACGCAAAGATGAGGAAAGAAAACGACTGATATCCATTTCTACCAATACAGATTAACTTTAATCTTAATTTTTATTTTCTCTAAAAGTACGTTTAAACTTTTTATCTTTTTCTAATTTCAAAAATTAGGGAACAGTAAAAAACAAGGTAAATTGAGATTGAAGTTACTCTTCATTGGTAGAAATGGACATGAGGGATCCTCTTGGTCGGAACGATCAGACTCGCCGAGTACTCAATTAACGCTAGCGATCATATAAATAGCCGTGGCGATTGATAAAAATTACTGCGTGAACACAGTGAACGACCCTGAGTGGTGGTCGTCGCGACATTAACGTAACAGCGTAGTGCACAGCACTATCATATTCAGTATCAGCGAGCCGCAGAGCAGCGCAGAAAGCCAGCCAGGGCTCGCGACGATCGTCGTGTGATGACCAGCGTATGTCGGCACCGAGCCATTCTGGACATCTCCAATGTCCGAACCGCGCACGCAGCTCTCCTGGACGTGATCATCCGCGTTGAACATCGCGCGGACTGTCGGCGACGGCACCGCTCGCGAGTGACTACCCGTCACATCGGAATACCGCGACTGCGGCCGGGGCACCGGCGAGTCGTGCCTGGTGACGTGGGGACCTGGCCGTGGCGTCTGGCACGACCATCGCCAGATCTCCGACGCAGCGGAGGAGCACCGGTCGAGCTCGTGCACGGACGGCTCACGGGAAGGCGCGAGATTGGAGGAGCCGACTGATCCAAAGCCCGAGCTTTGACTGGACGAGCGCGAGAGCGTCGGCAGCGTGGCGGTCATCATACCCTCCTGCCAGTAACCACCCGCTACCCACGAGGTCTGCGTCACCGATCTGAGCTTCGGTGGCGATAAAATGCATCTATGCTTGCTACCGGATTTCCTGAAGAGATTCTCGGAGCTCGTCGCGTTGTACACTCTTCGCTCGAAAATCGCTGGCGCCGTTTTCGTGATCCTGTCGTATTTTGGAAGATCTTCGTTCAGGAAAAGGGAGCTCAGGCTGTCGTTCAAGCAAGTATCCAGTGGACTATCATTCTGAGAGACGGAACTTAGGTAACCATTGGTACCGTCGTTTGTGATCGTAGACAGCTTCTGTCTCAATCTAGAGAAATAAATAGAAAAATAATAGAACAGGATTGTCACAAATTCCTTTTATCTAAAATCCTATAACTTTTCCATAATTTCTAGACAAATTTTCAACTTTTAATATTTAAAAATTGTTTGTATTTTCGTCTTGATTTGGAAATTGTTAAATATTTCGTTGAAAGAGAGTATTTTGACGTAGTACAATGTAAATTATAATTACAATGTTGTTGACATTGCTTGTATTAAAGTTCTTTAAGGCCAAAAATTTTTATTTTCCAGAAAATTTTGCAAAATTTCCTAACTTTTTTCTGATTTTCAGTTTGTGGTAACTTCGTAGAAACGTTCACGAATCATGAAAAGCAGAAGTGATGTAAAGTACTTGCATTGCTGAATGTGATTTGCTGAATTTGATTTCAGTGGAAGATAATTCGCTCGTCGCATAGACTGACGGTTTAATACAGCCATTCGTTTCGCTTGGAACGGTATTGTTTCTGTTTTGACTGTTATATTCGAGCTGAGACAAAATAACATCTCGTGAGCGCAACTTGATCTTCTTAAATACCACCGAACCGATCGAAGTAGTTTTATACAAGCTGAATCTTAGGCTCACCAATACTGTAATAAATGCGCAAGCCGCTACCTAGAAAGAAAGACGGATAAACTGAATGTGCAAATATATTCAAAAATAATAACAATAATAAGAGGAGCAAGTAAGAATTACAATAAAATAAAAATAAAAAAGAACAGGCGATTGAGAACAGAATTAAGACGCAGTTATTAAAGCGTTATACGTTAACAATGTATTTCATAAATCTTACAACTAATATGATGAAATTGGACGTTTCGGCTCAGTTCGAGCCATCCTCAGAGATGTCCAAATAACATTACAATCAATTCTAGATAAAATTCAAGAATGCAGCTAAGGGAACCTCCTCAATTTCCAACTTGAGAAGCATCACCGTCAATTAGTTGAATGGCTAACTGAGTACTACAGAAAAGTAAAATTTTATAGTATGACAATGATAAAAACAAGTACAGAATGATCAAAAGACTCACCCGCTGCAATCCATAATCAAAATATCACAAAGTTTGGAAATGCCTGAATAAAGATACATCGATATTTTGATTATGGATTGCAGCGGGTAAGTCTTTTGATCATTCTACACTTGTTTTTATCATTGTCGTATTATAAAATTTTACTTTTCTGTAGTACTCAGTTAGCCATTCAACTAATTGACGGTGATGCTTCTCAAGTTGGAAATTGAGGAGGTTCCCTTAGCTGCATTCTTGAATTTTATCTGGAATTGATTATAATGTTATTTGGACATCGCTGAGGATGCTTCGAACTGAGCCGAAACGTCCGATTTCATCGTATTAATTGTAAGATTTATAAAATACATTGTTAATGTATAACACTTTAATAACTGCGTCTTAATTTCTGCTCTTAATCGCCTGTTTCTTATTTTATTGTTATTGTTTTAATCTCGAGAGCTCAATTGTATTCTCTAATTTATTTCTTTGAAATAAACGCGAAAATTGATGAGTAAATTAATATAAATACAATGTAATATACATAAACAATAATATAATAAAAAATAGTTTAAAAAAACGGAAAAAATTACATTACAGATTTCAATTCGTTTTTGAGCCATCTTCAGAAAATTACGTTACAAAGTAGAATGCAGAGAATCAAAAACATACATTTATGGCGGGCCGTAATCAAATAAAGGAGATGTATCGAGATAATAATACAATTTCCCATTTATTGAGCTTACCATGCGATATTGCACGATGTATTCTGTTGTAAGCCAGGCATTTTGAAGAGTCGTCAAATCCTTTATGGACACGAGAATAGTGACACAGGACCATAAAAATATCAACAATATATCGGAACTCTTTTTTCTCATCGAGCTCGACCAACAAGCGCACAAGTGAAAAAACAGTCCACTGATTGGCAGCCAAATAAAGTCGTGGTTGTACATGACCATTGAGATCAGAATCGTCGAGATAACTCGGAAGACAGTTTCCGATTTTTTTGCATCCTGTAATAGTACTAACTAATGATTATTTGTTATAATATTGCTGCAATTGCAAGTCGATGGAGACGTCAATGGAAACGTTAAGAAATATTTACGATAACGTAATAAACATTTAGATTTAGGACATCGAACATTAATCTTTTTAATGAGCCATTCTTTGCAGTATTTTAAGATTATTTATTTATTAGCATTAATACTAATTAGTATCATTATTAAATTAACGATTAATGTAATTTGTGATGTATTTCTAGTTCTAGTTTATGACTGCATTTGAAGTCCAACAAACCGAATCGGCGCACAATTTATAGAACTAAAAAATATACTTTCAAATTTACATAAGGAGTATTATTAATCACCAAGACCCACTTCATCTGAAAATAGGGTTCTTTCTCTTATTCTAGTTATGACAATCTTTTTTGCAAATGTACTTACACTGATAAGCGTCTTAAACGGTTTCTGCCTGAAGAACAGCATCTTATAATGAGTTAGCCACACCGCCTGCCTGCGCAGTATATCTCTCACTGTCAATTTGCAGCTGTCGCACAGTGGATACCTCGCTTCTAGGTATTCCTTAAATATTTTCAGTTCGGTGTTAAAGAGCTTTTCACTCTTGGGTTCAAAATTGGCCAGTTCTGATAACTTTAGATCTTCCCGCTTGTTACAGCATGCACAGAGATTATCTTTGAAAACGTGACGGCTGTCACCGTCTTCGGACAGTCTGCAATATCTTGTATGTCTTTTTGATGTTACATACTGCTCTGGAATATCATACGCATAATCGCCATTCTGGAACAAACATTTCACATTCATCATTACAGACATTAAAAAAATAAAAGAAATTGTTTTCCAGCAAACGGATAGCTAAACCTGGACACTACAGGCTTGTACTTTTTAATTGAACTTCTTGCATGTTGAAGAGAAAAAGAGAAAAAATGAAGATGATATTTTAATGATGTCTTATTGATGTTAAAGGCGTCATTAGGCCATCATTTGGCTTTGTTACTTGGAGTCACTCTGTCTTTGTTTCTGACTGAATATCAAATAAAGACAGAATGATTTCTGTGTCAAAATGTGTTTTTCACTGGAAAACTCAATAATTTACCTTGGAAAAGCCGTTGTACTGTTCACACCAAGGACACAACCACCAGTTCAGATGCTGTCTCCAGACCTTCGTGTTCTCATTGCAAAACCAGCAATTTACCTTCATAGGCCATCTTGCCCTGAAAGATGCATAAGCACGATGAATTAGGTACACTCTCAAAAATGAAGAGTGGATCAGAAGCAATAAAAGTGGGAGTAATAAAACATACAGCCTTACAGAAATTGATCAAAAAGTATTAGGTATCTTATTGACTTTTATTTAACGTTTTAGTTCAAAAATTGATTTATAACATTCACCATGGAATATTCTTTGTTCTAAAAACTATTTAAACTTATGATATATATCGGTAATTACTATAATAGAAAACAATACAGGTAAAATTACAAATTAATAAACAAAAAAAATACAAGTGCCTGATATTTTAAGTCACGGCTATACATAAAACATGTTGGTATTGGCGGTATATGCAAGTAACTTACCTAAGCCTGTAGAACATCGTCAAGAACATAGCGAGTATTAAAAGAACTGGAACGAACATAACCGCGAAATCAAACGTTGCATTCCGATCGGCTTCCATATCGCGGCAGGAAAAGAAAGGAATTAAAAATGCGTTAAAAGAACAGTGTTTAGGAATGTCCCGCTTGAACGGGAAAACGATTTCCTAAAATCCACGGAGTAGAGACGTCGGCGCACCGCATATCCCGGCAATCCCGCCAAGCGATCGAGAGATAGGATACGTCATAACCTGAAAGACCTGTCATTCAGGATTGTTAATGAGGAATAATAAAAAAGTTTGAGCATGCCGTTGCTGTTGATGTGGACGCAATGAGGAATCCTTACGAAAAGGCTTACCCTATAATTGTCCAGTTGATTATCCTCCTTCGACAAACCTACTTAGTCCCCCGCTGTCGCAATACACGACATACAACACGTGCCGAAACTCCGGTACATGGTGCCTGGTGGAAAGAATTATGGGCTCTCACACATGAAATGTATAAGGGCTATCGCACATGAAATGCATAACAGAGCATAAGCATAACAAAAGACTGCTGGACCAATGAGCATCTAGCATAATGTCGCCATATTGAATTACATAAGATGCTCATTGGTTTAGCGGCCTGAAGTCACATGGAGCGGTTTATGTGGCAGAAAAACGTAAGTCCATAAGACGTAATCAGTAAGGAAATCGTAAGGCGTCGTCTACAATACACGGAGTAAGAAGTAAGAGAAGTGGGGAGCACAGACTCTTGCATAACGCATAACACATGAGGCATAAGAAATTGAATCAACCAGAG